GGAAATTATTCCTGTGGAACAAGGATAAAGGCTCACCAAAGGGATGGCATGTGGGCAGCGCCCAGAGTAGGGAACGGCTCTTTGAAGGGCATGAAAATCTGCACCAGAGTGAGAACCTGGAGCTGGCTCACAAGTGATGGGGGAATCATCTGATGGTAGATAAGGTAAGGATTTCATTAAAGACACCATGACCAGGAGGAAACAACAGGAATCCTACAGGATGAATCCTGCTACTCAAGCCCAAGCAGACAGGGCATGACTGCAGGTGTGGTTGGTGCAGAAGAGCAGCAGGATTGGGTCAGACCAAAGGTCTGCCTTGACTCATCTCTGCTCTCAACAGCAGATTCTTCAGGGAAAGGGAGCAGAGCAAAGAAGTGGTGATACTTGCCCTGGATATTAACCCAGCTTTCAGTCTGCATCCAGCTCAGGCACTTCTGAGCCAAAGCAGCTCTTCTGGGGACATCAGTGCTGGGGGAAAAAGAGCCTCCAGTTTCCAGGAGGATCCTCATTTCGTGGGAGGGAAATGAACCATGTGGCCAGTCAGCACTGGATGCTCAGTCTAGGAGTCCTGTGGTGTTTTTACACTCCTCCTGACAGTGAGAAACCCTGTGAGTGTCAGGTACAGCCCCAGCCACCAAGGATTGTCCTGCCAGGCATGGTTGTGGTGCCGTGGCTGCCCTGGGAAGCCGCAGTCACCATCACACTGCGGTCAGGCCTGGCCTTGCACGCGGAGAATTTCAGCCCCGTAGCTGACGGCAGCAAAGTCTCCAAAACCCGGGCAGTAAAGGTGATCAGAGAGGTGTTTGGACAAGAAATAACAAGAGACTTGTATGGTTTCTTGAGTCCAAATGAAGCAGCGATCAAAAGGAAATATGAAATTAAGAAAAATGTAGGGAATGCACATAAAAATGTGTCCTGGGGCAAGTCATTTCCCAAGAATCAGAGGATCAGAGTTTCTTTGATTAGGAGCATAATACTGAGGCTGACAAAAAATGGGCTTAATTGGGAAATGGCCATGATTTATGTGGTAGGACATTAAATAGAAATAATGTAACTTCTTCATGGCCAATGCAGAAACTGGATAGTCAGTCCCTGACACAAATTACCCTGCTGTGCAATTACCTTGGCACCAGACCGAGCCCAGCTCCTGTTGAACTTCAGCATCGCTGTGCAGTGAAGTACTTGTCTGTCTGTCTGCACCCTCTCTCTGTCTGTCTTAATGCCACCCAGAGGAATGCCATGTCTGTGGTTCTCTGCCCCATCAAATCTAAGTTAAAACCAGCCAATAGGTTCAAAAAATAAAAGGGAATGGTACTGAGAGAGACAGACTGAGCTGCAAAACACAAAATCTGGCATCACATAAGCCATGTGTCCTTTAGACTAAAATAGGGTCTGTGCTCCAGAAGGGTTGGGGAGGCTCAGGCACCTCTTAGTCAGATGGGATGGTGTCATGAGTGAGTGGCTCAGGTCACTTAAAGAATCACTGGCAAAGGTATCAACAAAATCAGGTTTTAATACAAATTTGTGGCAGTGTGGCTTAACAAGTGTTTGATGGCAAGGTCCACTCTATTTATTCCTACACAGATAAAGCACAGAAAGGAAAATTGATCAGAATCATCTTAATATGATTCACATGGAGACTAGGGACAAGAAAGGATAAGAGTGAAAATGGTAAGGAAGACCCTCCCATTGAGTCACAAGGTTCAGAGTGGACAACTCTTGCCAAACTTAGCCTCAGATCTGATCAACGTTTTTATGTCTAAAGGATTTAGCAGCACTGATGGGATGGGATGGGATGGGATGGGATGGGATGGGATGGGATGGGATGGGATGGGATGGGATGGGATGGGATGGGATGGGATGGGATGGGATGGGATAGCCAAGCGTGGTGGGAACAGACCCCCCAAAGGGACCAGACCTTTGAGCTGCTCCACTGTGAAGGGCAGCGCCCTGGACTGGGGGATGCGGGAGTGGGTTCCTCCTCCCGCCCGGTGCCCGGGCATCCCCGGGACAGCGCGCCCGCTCCGCTCCGCTCCGCTCCGCTCCGGCAGAGCCTCCCCGCAGCGCCAGGCTCCATCCCCGGAGCCATCGCTCCCCCCGCCGGCCGCTCCGCGCCGCTGCCGCCAGCCGGGGATGGGGATCGGCCAGGGGAGGAGCGGGAGAAGGAGGAACAGAAGGAGGAGTACGCGCCTCTCACAGCTTCTCGTGTGGCAGAGGGATGCCTGCTTCCCTCATCCCCTCATTCCAGGCCGGCTGCGGGGAGATGCGTTGCCCGAAGAGTTCTTCCCGGCGTTGTCTCTTCACTGGAGGCTGGGCGTGTTTTTACTGGATTTGTCCGTCTTTGAAACATATAAAAGATTTTAAGGCAAAAGAAGGCTCTGCGGTGGATATGGGCAGTTTGGAAGCTGCTCCACAAACCGGAGCAGGGCAGAGGGGTGGAGGTGGTCGTGGCACAGGGACCCCTGCCTGTGCCAGACCCATGATGAGATTCCCCCTCAGCAGTAATACTGCGTGTGCTTGAACTGCTGTGATAGAGACTTACCTGCTGGGAATGATAACTTGATCAACCCTACCATCCTGGGTACCTGAACATGGGTTAAAGCCTTGGTTACTCAGTTGCTGGAGTAGTCACGGTGATCCCAGCTTGTCACCCTTCTGCATCCCTTGTATTTTGAATATTTAAGCCACTAACCTTAATGCAGTATTTATGCCACGGTCTGTTTCTTTTGTAAAAGGAAGGGTGAGGAAAACAGACAGGAAAGCACTAATCCCTACAGGAATGCTGTCTTCCCCATCCTTCCATTCTCCAATGCAGGACACAGCTCAGTGAGTAACTACAGCAAGATGAACCACCTCAGATGCACTGTCGCACTCAGGTCAGACTGTGCTGGTCTTGGACCCAGATCTCTCTGTTATTTTTCTATTTCCTTTTTTTCAGGTTTGCAAACTGTGTCCTCAGTCAGCACTAACCACAGGGAGAATTTCCACTTGGAAATACAGGCGAGTTTCTTTGCTGCTGTGCAGGCAGGAGAAGGCTCAATTTCAGCTGTAACAGGGAAAGGGCTGTTCTGTTCCACCCTTGCTGACCAGTCTAGGTCTGAAAGCTCAAAGAGGCCAACTCATTCCTCAAGTCCTGATGTAACCCCATGTATGGCATTTGCCCCAACGCAGTGAAATTCCAGCAACTTGATACTTCAGGCTGTGACCTTTGAGGGGTTAGGGGAGCCCCAGCTGCAACCTCCTGAGCTCACTCTGATGCTCAATTAAAGCCAGGGAGGCTGCACTTGTGGGAGCACTGAGTTGAGTCCTTTGGGCTCTGACAGATCACTGGGACACGAGTATTGTCCCATGGGATGAGACATGGCCTTAGAGATGGATCCCTTCACCTTCCAGAGGCATGATAACTAACTCTACAGGTGGAGCCTGGTTTTCCTGAGCTTGCTGGGATTTAGAGCTGACTCCTGCACAAGAGGGGGAGGCAGAGGAGAGGAGGGCTGGAAAGCCTTCCCTTGCAGGGGACCAAAGCTGCCTCTGTGTGTCCAGCAGCGCTGGCAGGAGGGCTGGAACTGGAAGGACTGCAGCTGTGTGTTGGTGTGGGAGTGGAGCAGGAGTTTCTGGCTGAGAGGGAGCGACTGGAAAGCAGGTTTGCACAGGATGGCTGATCTCCTACAGCCCCTGCCTGCCTTCCCATCCTCCCTTGCCAGCTCTCCTGGCACAAGGAGGGTCACATCCAGCTGGATCTTGCAGGGGTCATGTGCAGCAGTGCCCCTCTCTGTGTCAGGTCTGCCAGTTCACAGAGGCTGCCCCCACAGCAGGGAGGCATTTGCTGAGTGTCCACCAAGAACCCCTGCTTTGGCTAATAGCCCTGGGAAGCAGCGTGGCCGGATGGAACGAGTGCCAGTGTTCAAAGCAGGGGTGGAAAACCTTCACCTGGCCCTTCTAGGCACCAGCTTTCCCCCTGGGGTCAAACACCTTGGCAACATGCCTGCAAACTGACTGTCCCCAGTGGGACCTGCCCAGGGCTCTGCAGCTGGGAGAGGCCCTGTGGGGGATATGATCTGACAGCTCTGCTGGGAGCACAGCACATCCATCCAGGGGCTGTCGACAGGGACCTCACAGCTGAGCCAGAGCTCTTGCAGCTTGGGATATTTTTAGCCCATGCCAATGGTGGTGTTTATTTTCCTACTGTTGTGCCTTTTAGCCTTTCCCAGGGATTTTATTGCTGATGAAAGCAAGGGCCTGAAGAGCCATGTGAGTGTCTGTGCTGGCTGCCTCCATTGCTCCAGCTTCATTTGCCCACGTTACCCATCCAATATCCCCTAAGGAGCCTGTTTACGGTGATGGACTGCGATAAGCAGAAGCACCTCAGCTTCCCTTGGACCAGACTCTTCCCTGGGGCAGGGATGTCTGTGGTACAGTTTGAACACATGCAATCCCCCTCAGTGGGATGGGATGAAACAGAGGAACATGGCAGGCTCGTTTATTTGTCAGTGTTTTAAATCAGGATTTTTTATTATGGAGACTCATCAGGTTGCTCACACTGTGGCAGGAATTTAATAATATAAGGCACAGGGAACATTCAGAAGTAAAAAAAGAGTTCTCAGCCTTTGAGATTTAACCATCCCTTTGGTCCTATCAGGACCCTTTCTATAAAGCAAAATCCAAATACCTTCTCCCTTCTATCTCACTCATCCCTTAAATCCACAACAGGAAAAAAATATTACAGCCTTTCCCTTGAACATGTGGCAAACACGCCTCTTTCTGGGCAGAAACATCCCTTCCAAGACTGGCACAGCTTCCCTGGGAGAGCAGGGCTGGAATTTAAGCACAACCAAGGCAGAGAGGCGGGAAGTGCTTGAGGGCACTGTGGTGTGGGGAGAGCCAAGAGCTTTATTTCAGCTACAGCAGAATCACATCAAGGTCAGACATGGGCAACCTGGGGGAACAGGCAGTCACACCCCATCTCACACAGAAAACACGACAGCAGTGTGGTCATTGAGTGATGGTAAAGCATGTAGCACTTTCAAACCTTTATTTTTCGAGGGGATTTTACAAAATGGGAGGCACTTCATCTTCCTTGTTTTAAATTGTATGTGTTTCCCTATCCGCTAATTCAATTAGCCTTTTTTTATTTTTTCTTTTGTGCCCAATAATTACTAAATTCAAGCCCTGGGAATGTCAAAAAAAAAAAAGGAAAACAAAAACCAAAATAAAATCCTGCCACTCTTTATCCTTCTCAACCTTCTCCGTCCTCCCTAGCACGAGCTGGGTGGCCACAATGTCACCTGCAGCTGCTCTGCTTGAGAACCCAATCCTCCTACATCCTCTGGCTCTGCCTTCCCTCACGGGCATCATCTGTAACTGGGGCGGTGAATCAGCTGAGAGGGCTTTGCATCTGCGCTGATGTGTCCAGGAATGTGCTGTTAGTGAGAAGTTAAAGAGAAGTCGATCCGAGAGAGGATACCAAGACAGAGCGGATATTTGGGACAGGAACAGTCGGTCAATGGTACAGGAGAGAGAAAAGGCTGGTAAGAGCACGTGGAAACAGCTGAGTGAGTAATCTAGTGGTAATAGATAAGGCTATGAACGAGGACTGTTATTTCTCTTAGCACCGTTACTACATATGTTTAGATCTATATTAGCACCTTGTTCCCAGGGAAAAAACAAAACAAAACAAAAGCAGTTTAAAAACCAAAGGAAGTGGGAAGGTTAAAACAAGACAAAGTTGGCAGCAGAGCAGGAAGCCGGGCGTTTAGATCACAAGATCCTTGTCTATGTCCTCTGTGGAAGGAAAAGAGAGAGACAAGGTTAGGAGGTGGATGCTGCCAGGGTCCCTCTGCTCCTGCAATCCACCCTCCCCACTCTCCCCTGCTTTGCCTCAGCCAGCACCAGCTGAAATGCACTGCTCCATCCAGAGTGGGGGCTCTGGGGGTGCTTTTCAGTGTACCCTGCACCCCCATTCCTGCCCTTCCGAGTACTTACGCTCCTTAATGCCGAAGCAGCTGGCCCACTCCTCCAGGGCGATGTACTTGTCGTTGTCCAGGTCGCAGGCCTCGAAGAAGCGGGTGGTGCAGTGCTCCATGGGGATGAGGGGGGCACGGAGCGGGGCCAGCTCAGTGTGGGACAGGTACCTGCCAAGGTGGCCGCATGGTCACAGGAGGGGAGATGCTGTGGACCCAGCTCTGTGGTCTGACTGCTGTCCCAGTGCCCTCCCAGTATCAGCCACTGAGTGTCATGAAGGTCAAAGACTGGTGTTTGCCTTTGTAACTGGCTGTGCTGGTCACAAAATAGTAGCTGGCAGTTCTTGCCAGCTGCCCTCACCCCACGGGTCTGTGAGCACTCTCGTGCCCTTCTCCATCTCACAGCTAAGCCAGCAGCTGCTATCTCAGCAGCTGAAGTTATCCTGGGCCCACTGGACTAAGATATTTTAGGGAACTATCACACAACAGTAAATCTGAGAAGATGGAAACTCCACACCCAAGGGAGATGGGAGCAGCTGAGCCTGGGGAGGCCTCTCTTCCTGCAGGAGGCAAACCAACCTCTATCCCAGCCTGGTTTGCCACAACCCCTACCAGATGTGCTTGTGCCACCAGCCACCCACTTGTGTCACATCTCCAGCCTGCTTTGACACCTTCTGCTGCCAAATCATCCTGGTCCTTGGGTGGGAAAGGGTCCTGGTGGGATCTCCATCCTGCTGACACTCACCCATCGATGGGGTGCTGGTCCAGCTGCCCAAACTGCCAGTGCACGGGGAAGATGTACATGTTGTAGTTCTTCTCAAAGTCACGGGCCAGCAGCTCCACGGTGTGGTCACCAGCTTCCAGGCGCTTCTCGTTCTCATGGATCTTCTTCACCTGCCATAGGAGAGGCCAGGGAGGCCTTGTCAGCAGGGGAATGGGGCGGGAGGGAAGACCACAAGCGGGGATTTAAATGGGGTGCCCATAGGTCATTCTGGACGGGCTCCCCACATGTCCTGGGCTCTGTTGGAGGGGTGAGCTCCCAGGCTCTGTCCCCAATCTCTCACCTTGAGCTTCTGCTTCTCAGTCAGCAGGTTGTTGTCCTCATCACGCTCATACAGGGTGATCAGCACGTTCTTGAGCCAGTCCCGCATGCGCAGGGGGAACTCAGTCAGCTCTGTGTCCAGGCAGGCAGGGATGACTGGAAACCATGCACAGTGGTCAGTGCAGCGTCCGGAGATGCAGCCCCAGAGCCCAGACACAGCCCCAGTGCCCTCTGACCACAGCCCTGAGCCTGCCTGGACCTTTGCTCTCCCTCAGACTGTGGGCATGGGGGCTGTGCTCAGGTCAGGGGTCCCCTTGTTTGAGGGAGTGGCTCCACTTACATTTGCAAGGCCCAATGTAGTCCAGGTGCAGCTTGTGTCCCTTCTTGGTTCCCTCCAAGGTGCACTTGGTGGCAAAGAAATGGCAGGAGGAGTCGTAGGTCTTGTTGTCGGTGCCGCAGACCTGCACAGGGTGGGGAGATGTGAGAGGCAGCCAAGCCCAGATTTGCTGGGGAGTCTGCAGGGAGAGCCTCCAAACAAGATGTTTAACTTGTTCCCTGGGGTGGGCAATAGCTGCTGGATCACCACCAGCCGAGGTCAGACCTGCTGCCCTGATTCTGTCTCCCCACCATCCCTGGCAATGCCCATGTGGGGTCGGTCCCTGCCCACTCTGGGCCACCAAGCAGCTCCTGCCCTCACCTTCTCGAAGACACCGGCGGCGGCTGGGCAGCTGGAGGGGTCCTGGCACACACACATGGGTTGGTTGTTGTCATCCACCTCGCACACCTTGCCGTGCTTGCAGTGGTGGTTCTGGCAGGGGTCTGGGAGCGGGAGGGGAGCAAAGTCAGAGCCAGCCCCATCCTCCACTCCCACGAGCTGCTCAGGGCATCTCAGCACAGAGGGAAGACAGAGACTTCAGCAGGGACAGCCCCAAGCACCTATTCTTGCACTGGGGAGAGGTGAGCATTTCCAGAAATCTATGTTAGTCCTCAGGCTAATCCTGGACTCCTTTCTGTAGCCACACAACACAATGGCTTTTCTGTTGCACAACCAGGCTTACAGAGAGCCCAGGGCTAGAAAAGGCTATTTTTCTCTTTTGCTTTAAAGTGTGCATCTAGTCTGGCATCATCCTTGTGCTATAGCCCTTCCCAAAGGAACCCCTCACTGTTTGGGATGGCTGAAGCTCCCCCGTGCAGGGAGGGGATGATGTGTCTGCCAGCCAGAGGGCAGGGGAAGGGTGACTTACTCTCTGCAACAATCTCCTCTACGTCCTCTGTGGGTTCCTCGAACTCTCCCACCTCCACTTGGACAGGATTAGCCCCCACGGGCTCCTGCAAAAAAAAGGTTGGTGTTTCTGGTGTTGGTGTATATGGATCACAGCTCCTGGTGGGGGAGAGCAGCCTCCCCTTTGCTCCCCAGTGCTTTGGAGATGCTCTTCCCAGAGCAGTGAGTGCTGCAGGGGAGGAGGAGGAGGGGCAGAGTCACCTACCTCTGTGGTGGGATCTTCAATGACCTCTGTCTCATCAGGCAGAGCCTCCTGCTGCAGGGGAAAAAGGACCATCATTGGGGGACCGTGGGGAGGATGGTCCCAAGGGGGAATAAGGCCATCCTCAGGTTGCCCCCCATCCCTCAGCACTGTATTTGTTATAAAAGAAAATCCCCATCAGCTACTTCAGATGGACAACCCCAAGAGCAGAGGCTCTGCTGTCTCACACACTTACCGGAGCTGACAGGGCTTTGCCTGCCAGGCAGATAAGGAAAAAAATCCAGGCCCTCATTTTTCAGCAGACCCTGAAAAAAAGAAGAGGAAAAGGAGGGATGAGGAAAGAGGCCACTGTGTGCCACTCAGCTCCAGGCTGAGCAGTCAGACACTTAGAGAAGGGCGTTCTCTTCATTTCCTGCCTCGTCAGTTCAATATTATAGACCCACATGCTGTCTTTTCTAGCCAAAACCTTAAGCCAAATCATGTTTCCAAGATAAATTCTTTTGATTTTGCAACGTGAGACAGTGGGGTTTAGATGTCTGTTACTCTCCTGGATGCCTTTAGAAAAATCACAGTCAAAATGGCAGTTCCTCTTTCCTTTTCAGGAGGTTTTTTTTACCAAACCCTACATTTTTCATGTTAAAAATCTCCTGATTTGAGTCCCGGGTACATGCAAGGAAAAATGAAAGTGGAGGATGAAGGAGAGACAGTGAGATGGGGTACTTGAGAATCGAATCCCTTAGAAAGCCCCTTCCCACATGGACACAGTCATCCCCAGGGGTATGAGGGGCCAGTCCTCCATCCTTGGCATCCCCAAATGTTGGGATCTCTACTATAGTTTTTCCCTTTCCTGCTCAGACTTGAGGGTCCCCAGACCGGGTTTAAGGGATCCCAGACACTTTGGGGTTGTGCCCTGCCAGGAGATGAGCTCCAGAAGGATCAGCCTTTTGCACCCTCCCAGTCTGGGCTGTGGCAGGGATTCTGTAGGACGAGGGAGCCGGGCAGCCCAGCTAACACTGGCTGCGATGTGAGCCAGGAGGAGAGCGCAGCTGGTGAAATCACCCTGTCCTTGTCCCCCTCCCCGGTTCCTGTTTGGCAGGGATGAGCCCCTCTGTGTGAGGGCAGAGAGGAGCTCAGCTGGCCGCTTAGTATGCCGGTGGCATCCCACTCCTGACAGCGAGGGCTGCCCTCTCCCTTCCGCCCGCTGGGAGAGCGAAACACCCCCGGTTTGTCTCCTGCCAGTGAGGGGACTTGTCCACCTGCCAAGTCTTCCACTGCCTCCCTTCCGCTTGCCCCCGTCCACTCCACCTGTGTGTCTGGGCAATCACAGCCCACCAGCTCCCTGGGGCCAGGCAAAGGGATGGATTTGCTGGGACAGAAAGCGTTGGACGAGGTTCCTTCATATCTCCCGGGATATCTGATTTGCCAGCGCATCCTTTCCCTTCCTCCCCATGCACAGCAGCCCTCTGGGTATAAAACCACACCAAGGCTGTGCTGCCAGGCTGGGCTCTGCTTCCTAACTTAGCAAAGGTTTGGCCATGCAGGGAAAATCCTCTTTCCAAATCTCGGTACCTCACCCAGCCTCCAGCTGGGTGTTCATGCAAAATAGAGGTCATGGCACAGAGGGCAGCTTCCCTGGGATGCCAGAGGGCTGGGAGCACAGAGTGGTGGGGATGGCTGCTGTGGTGGGATAAAGGGTCTGTGGCAGAGGAGTTGTGGGTAGGGGCTGCTGAGCCTGTTTGCACTGTCAAGGCTGCAGCTGAAAAGATCCCTCCTCTCCTGCTTGGTACAATCTGTCCCTTCCCCTTGCCTTTATTTGCTCTGGATGCTACTGAGAGTTCTGCCAGCATCTGCCAGGAGAGATCAGTGGTTCTGATCTTCACTCCTGGAAGGGTTGCGTGGGGAGGGGAGGTGGAAAAGTACTGGTGATTCTGGCCATCTCCTCCCTTGCTGCCATTCCCTGGCTTGTAAAGGCTCCCCCTGGGCTTCTCCCAAGGGGCTTGTTTGCTTTGGAAGGTGCTCTGAGGTTCAGTGGTGCTCACTGGGCAGTAACTTGGCAGTGCCCAGCCTGGAGGAGAGGGCAGTGCATGTGCATGTGGAAGATGGCATTAAGAAGAACCCAACCCCAGACCAAGGCCATCTTAGATCATTTCCCCAAGCCTCAAAAAAGCCTTGAGTTTCAAAGTCTGGGCATGCAAGTAAGCTGGGGTCAGGGAATTACATGCTTGCTAGAAGCCAGCAGACAGTCAGAGCTGCCAGTGTTGTGCTTGGAGGAAGAAGGAGCATGAAAAAGTCTGAGCAAACAAGCTCTGCAGAGCTGTCTTGTGTCATAGCTGGGAAAGCAAGTTTATTTGAAAAACAACATCCTTCTAGAGGCAGAGCAGGGAGGACATTGCAGTGCCTGTGAGCCTCTGGCTGGGTTGCAAAGGCATGGTTATTCCTGAATGCCTGGTGGTCAAAAGTCCTGAAATAACAGCTCTGGAGCCCTGCACACAGAGCTGCTCCATCAGAACAGCATGATCTGTGGTGCAAGTGTCCCTCCTTGTGGAGCAACCATGGTCCTGCTGTCCAAGAGGATGATCTTTGGAGCTGGCAGCTGGGCCATACCATGAGCTCAGCATCCATCCCACAGCTGGAGGAACTTTGGGAGGATCCCTGTGAGGGGCCCTGCACTGGGAATGCCTGGAACTGCTTTGCCAGGGGGCAGGGGGCAGCAGGGGGAGGTGCGTCCAGGGGGTCATTTTGGACAGAGGAAAACAGGACTGGGAAAGAGATCCTAAAAGAATCAATAGATGCCAGCACTATGCAAGGTGCTGGGAAGCAGCACATCATGGCCACAGACAAGGCTGCTGAATATAAAATAAAAGAAGCTCCATGGTCACCAGTCCCTCCTCAGGCCTCACCTCCTGACTGCTGAGGATGGAGAAGACAACAAAGCACCCATGGGCTGCAGGACCCATGGATGGCACTGCATTTCTAAGGCTTGACATCCTACACAGGGACTCCCAGTTGCTCTATAAACAGAGCCTGGGGGCTCCCACGAACCCCTCTCAGTGGTTCCAGCATGGCCCAGGCTATTCCTCAGTGCCAGCTGCCCCTTCCATTTTGCAGCCACGTCAATAACAAGGGAGCCACGGGGTGTAGAGAGGTCTGATGCTGACCCTCAGCACCTCCATAAACTCAAAGCTGCTCTAGGAAACTCTTTACCATCCTCTCCCCAAGCCTGTCCCATCACAAGTTTCCCTTGATGGGGAGAAAACCCCACAGTGATACACAGAGGAGAGTCTGTGCCACTGGGGTCTGCAGGTCTCTCATGACTCCCCCCACCCAGGGACGTCTGTGGGTTGGGGGAGGACACGGACCAGGCGGGTGCAGCCTCTGGAAGAGGCTCCATGGATGGTGGAGCGTGGTCCATGTGGCGCTGGCCCTGTCCAGGGTTGCATAAGCCCTTTGGGATGCCACGTTAGCGTGGGGAGGAGTCTCTGCCTGGCCACTTTGACAGCTCCTCCCCGAGGCCACTGGGCTAACCCCAGCTGCCACCCCTGCTAACCCTGTCGAGGGGCTCTGCTGACACCTCCCATTGCAGCCATGGAGAGCAGGAGTGGGCAAAACCCTCCTGTGCCCCCCCTCCCCACTGGCACCCCAGCCCGGCCACATAGGAGGCACCACCCGAGCACCGGCACCTCCTGCACCCTCCCTTTGCTCATTGCTTTTCAAGGCTCTGCAGGTCTGATATGCCCCTACCTCACACTGAGTGTAAAGGCAAAACTGGCCCAGAAAAGGGTTTTGCTAAACCCTACTGAGCCACAGTTTTCAAGGTGCTGATGGGTGACCAAGTGTGACCCTCACAGAGACACAACGCAAGGACTGGCCCTGACCTCCCTGTGGAAGCAAGACCCTCTGAGCTTCACCCAGCAGCCACTCCCAGGCTAAAATTCCATTTGAAGTCAGAGTTGTTTGCTCAAGTCCCCATACAGCTCCCAGCTGAACAGGTCCCTGCATGTCCGTGCCAGCTCACCCAGATGTGCTGCAGCTGCCCTGGGGAGCAGGGCAGAGGACTGGGCAGAAGCCACTCTGGCTCCTGCCACCTGCCCAGACCCCTGGCACACAGTTGTGCAGGCTCAGAAAGCCAAGCAAGGTTCAGATGGAAGTGAAATTCCATTTAGCTCATGCACACACATATACTACAAGCAAAACACGGGGGGGAAGGGGGATCTGTCTGCCCTGTCTGCCTATGCAGAGTCACTAAAGATATTTCTACACAATGCAGCATGAACCCAGTTCCTGTACAGGGACCTGAGCAGCTCTGATTGCACTGAGAAATGCCCCAGATCTTACAGGGCTCATTGATGCAAAGGCAAGAGCCCGGTCCCTTTAGAGCTGTGCTGAAGCTGTCATCGTTTGTCCAGGTTACAGACCGCATCCATAATGGAAAACATAACAAGACCAGTGCATGGATGAGCCCTGGGCTGCAGGTAGCAGCTCACTGATGAGCTCTGTGCAGACACGGGAGATGGAATTTTGCTGTCCTGCCTGAGCTTTTTCTATTGTGTGGACATGGCAGGGCCAAAAGCAGCCCCGATGTTGCTGTGCCAGGGGCAGGCGGTCCCTCCGGCTCCCGGGGGATGCAGCCAACTGATCCCGCACGGCTCCACAAAGGAGGACGAGAATAAACTGTCCGATAAATACTCTCAAAAATGCAAACCATCTCCAAAGCATTCCCTGGACTCGCCCTGCCGCAGCCGCTCCAGCGATAACAGCCCCGACATCCCTCCGACCAGAGGACCCAGAAAAGGTTTCCATGGGAGCCGACATTCCTCTGGGGCTGAGTCATGGAAGAGCAGAGGGTTGTGGAAGGAGGGGCTTGAAAAAAAGTTTGAAAAGTTTATTTCTGCTCTTCCCCCTCCCAACACCGCCCGCATCCCTGCTCCTGCCTATGTGGCAAACAATGGCTTGGCTTTAGTTACTGCGCAGGACGCAACAGCCTTTCATTTCCACTTAAAACTCGCCTGATCCACCCTAACAAAGGGCTGCGGTTAACTTTTGTCGTTTTGGAGGGTTGCTGAGTTTTCGAGCTGTTTCGAATTGGTGGTCTCTGAGGACTTGGAGTACTGGCAACTTTCCCGGTGTCCCCAATTTCACTCCGACTTGAAACTCCTGCCTTTCGGTTTGGGTGGGAGTTCAACCACTATCCTGTTTTCTTTTTTTTTTTTGGCTGGATGCAACAGAATGGAGCTTTCTTAGAGAAGGGACACAAAGAGCAGAGTTAGACTGCCACACAGGTCACGTCAGGGATGGGAAGGACAGCATCTGCCTTTAAAGGAAACAAGCCTTGGCTCTTCTGCGTGGACTTAAAATTGTGCCTGACTGAGCCCAAGTTCTTAAAACTTTAAAAAAACACTCCAAAAGAGCTTTGTTCCTCCTCTCCTGCAACCTCTGCCTCTCTAACAGTCGATCAGCCGGAGTTCAGCCAGGGCAGCAGGACTTGAAAGAGTTTCAAAGTTTGCTGGGAACAAAAAGCCGAGTGTTTGTTTTTTTTTTTCTTAGGAGAAATAAGAGCGGCTGTACTGAAAAAATAAAAAACGGTGAGATGAAGTCGACAGCTCTTTTGTTCTTCCTCTAGATACTCTGGTGAGTAAAACATCACCTGCCAACACACCTCAGGCTGGGAGTAGTGGGGACTGGTTTGTAACTAGTTCTGATTTTCTCTGCAGGTTGGTTTGATGTGCTCAGACCTTGGTCACACATCTCGCTAAGGAACTAACCCCCAGCTGAAAACCCAGAGGGGAAAAAGGGAGGATAGAGAAAAATGAGGGCAGGTTAAACCTTTAGAGTCAGATACCACCAAAGTGTTAAGCTCGTCATCTGGCAGTGAAATAGAGCAAGAGACAGTTTAGGAGCGGAGATGCTGCAAAGAGGAGAAAGAGGAGAAAGAGAAGAAGTCAGAAGGGGTCTCTAAATGCACCACTTGGGGTGGGGAGCATCCACCTCCCCATCCCGAGTGACACATTGCCGAGCCCTGGACACACTCCGCGGGCTGGGAGAGTGGGTCCAGGGCCAGGGACCGCCACGAGTGGGGCTATGGGGACCCCCATATCAGGAGAAAGAGGCACAGCAAAGGCAAACGCGAAGCTCGGGCCATACCTCGCAGTCCGGGCAGCACGGCTGAGGAAACTTCAGGCGCTTGGACAGGCTGGAGAAATCTGCAGGTTTTAGAAGGAGGCAGGAGGAAGCCAAAGGGTGGGCTGGGTTTCCCGCTGCCTCTCCTCCTCCTCCTTGCTATCTTTCCAAATCGGTCTCTTCCTCCCCCCCTCGCCCCAGTGGGCAGTCCCACCCGGCTGAGGCACAGCCTGGGTCCAAAGGATAGACCAGAGAAATCAAGCAGGGGCTGGAGATCAAGGGGGTCTCTCGCAGGGACAGGTCAGCCCCCAGCGCAGCCTTCCCAGCAGAGTCACTGTCACAGCTGCCTGCACTGCTGCGACGAGTTTGTCAGTTCTCTGTCTCTCTGGGACTGACAGCACAGGGGGATGAGGGGAATGCCATCTCTCTGCTTGGTTTGTGCACCTCCTAACCCCTGGACCTGCTGCAATTAAAAAGTGAAGTGCTGTCATTTCTCAACAGAGTAGTTCAGTCCCTGAGCTGGTGTTTCCCATCTTCAGGGGGATGAATAGGAAGGCAGGAGAGTTCTTGCTTCTCCGTCCTATCTCTTAACACTACTGCCATCTGGGACTGCCTTGTGGAGAGGGAGAGGAACGAATGATCCAGAGAATGTGGGGAATTATGGCATGTCTGAAATATGCTCTAAGTGGGCAGAGAAATGCTGCGCTGGTAGATGTGACACTCAGCAAGCTGATCTCTCTGCTGTGGTTATCATCCAGCAGATCTGGACTGATTGAACAAAACCCACTGTCAGAATTGCTGGTCAGCTGAATCTGTTGGTCTCTTCAGACATCACTAAGTATTTTGACCTTACAGATCCTAACTCAGCTGGAGCAGCTGCCCAGCCAGGCAGCAAAGCTGTTTGGAGTTAACTTTTCCCATCTGTTCCTCTCTATGCTCGGGGTGAAAACCCAGCTCCTCTCTCCATGACTGTGAGGATTTAAGGTTAATCTGCTCCCCTGGCAGAAGACCACATGCCTTTCCACACCAGCATGGCCATGGCTGCAAGGGAAAACCAGTAGCCAAAAACTGCTGGAATTTGGGCATCCCTGAAGAGTATCTCCATGCCATACAGGGCTGTCCTGAGCCCTGTGGATAATTCAGCTCTTTTCAGCTTGTGATCCTTCTGTGGCACCAACCCTCACCCCAGGGCTGCTCTCCAGGGGCTGTTGGAAAGGTGGTGGCTTGTGTAGCCAGCAGGACTGAGGACAAGCCATCTGGGCACCAGCAGCCTGATTATGGATGCTGGGTGAAGGACACCCAAGACCACAGCAAAATGCAGCATCGTGTTTTGTCTTGGCTGCCTGGGGTTTGGGCTGGTTCCTTGTGATTACAAACTATCTTTGAGAGGGGCTGAGACATGGATCTGGGTCCTTAACTCTTCCCACTGGTGTTGCTGAGGATTTAGATGTCAACACAGGAACTGGCCTGTGACGACCCACTGGGCTGTGCCGGCTCCTTGCTCTGTAGGATGCCTTTGTGGTCTGTGATTCTGTATCAGCTCCCTCCCCATCCGGCCTCGCGGCACCTCTGCTGCATGTGAAAGATCAGATGTAAGACTAAACATCCCATGGCCAACAAGAAACAAAAAGTAAACAGAACAGAAAGGGAAAGGGGAGGGAAGTATAGGGGAGGGGGGCCATGAGAACCCATCATCCCTTCCCAGTGAGCTGGTCGATCGCTGTGATCGGGCAGCTCCAGAGGCTGCTGGCAAAGAACAAGAGAAGAAAACCTTCTTCACCCATTTCTTTACTTGGCTACACTTGATATCACTCACAGGGACATCCATAAATTCGGGTCCATGTGGGGGCCAGATTTGGGATGGTGTCTGAGACCCTGTGGGTCCTTCTAATACAACCAACCGCCTGTGGAATCTGGAGATCTCCTCCCACCACAAGTGTCTGTAGCTCCCAGGTGCAACCTAGTGCCACCTGTAGACCCATTTTGGCTCCAGAGGCCACACATCCCCTAAGCCAAAGTATCATTTGTTTGATTCATATCCCAGGGAGCTGAATGCTGTCGTTGAATGCTCTCTGCGCTGGATTAGTCACGGCTCGCATTGAAATTGTACAGCTGCTGGTTCTTCTCCTGAGGAAAAAAAAAAAAAAAAAAAAACATCTGGAAAAAATTTTAGGGAGGAAAAAAAAAAAAGGAAGAGAAAAGAAACCATGACTTTTTCTAACTGACAACGTGGCAATTGCTTAGTGCTCTGCACTGTAGGCCTGCAGCTAAGACCTCTACTAAGGGCTTAGACAAATGATAGTGCCAGGGAGATAATTATAACAGGGATTTCTTTATATATGTGGTGGGTTAGACCCACTGGTTTTGAGTGAAAGCAGAAAGCAGTGATGCAGTCACATCTGGAAACACAGCCCAGGCTCATTCTTGTGAGCCTGGGGTGGGTGAGAGTGAGGGGACCTCACAGTCCTCTGCACACACGGTGGGGACAGCTGGGTCCTGCATTTTGTGAGGGGCATGCTGCCAGGCATCAGCAGTGGGATGGAGGGGAATCACACAGAGGGGGAAACAAGAGCCTGGAGCAACTCCCTGACTATCTAAACTCAGCAGCTTTAAAAAGCTTTATAAATGACTGAGAGCTTGCAAAGGAAGTCCTGGAAAATCCTTTCCACTCTTATACAGCTTAGTGGGATCATCAAAGGGGACATTTTGGTGTCAGGTTGCCAGGAGGAAAACTGGAGCTCACACATGTTTAGAAGGTCGTCCTTGCCACCTGGGGCACTGGATGGGCAGGAAATTGCCCAAGGGGCCTCATCAGCCCTGGGATGCCCTCACAGAGCTGCAGCCTCACAGGCCCAGGTCAGGCTCCCTGACCAGGTGCCAGCAGGGCACCCCCTGGATGCACCCCAGGACTCCTGGCACTCACTCCCAGCTCAGGTGACTGCACGAACTCCGATGGAAACAGCAAACAGGGCAAGACCCTTTGGGCTTGAGCTCATTTTGCAGCAAAGCCAGGAGGTCTGCAGGGATGAGGTTTGAACTCCAGCTAACCCTAGTTCAAAGTCCAAATTTCCTCATCCCATTGTAAGCCAGGTTGGGCAGATCTGGGCTGTCACAGCTGAGAAAACCCCAGTGCTCTCCAAGAGGGGAACAAGTCTGCTGTAAGAAATGAAGAAAAATGTGAGTGAGCACTGGTTGGAGAACTACAAGTATGGATTAATAATCCTGCTGTGTCCTACTCAGATCGGTCTGTCTGAGGAGCCTTTCCTTCTCTCTGCTCTGGGAGGGATTCTCTAATGAGTTTTTCTCTAGAGAATGTTTCTGCATTAATTGCTACAAAACAATGAGCCCAAAGTGCACATAAATAAACAGGATGCCCTGGAACCACTGCGGGAATGTAATTTACTCAGTCTTCATCCCTGAGTGTGTGGCTGGAAGATGAGCTCCTCACACGTGCAGGACAGCGTGTGGAAAGGCAATGGCTGCTGGTGTGGGAGCCCAGCACCCAGCTCAGGAAAAGTCAAGAAAGATCAGTACGACCAGAGCAGACAGGAATCTGCTTATCCCAGGAATGTTCCAGCTCTCCTGCTCTCTGGGAGTGTGTCAGCAGGTTCTGCGGGAGGGTTTCTGGGTTTTTTCCATTTCAGAAGCAGATCAGAAGCAGAAGGGCTGTGTGATCTCTAGGCTCACACCAAGCAGATCCATGGCCACTGTAGGAACCATCTGCACAGGGCAGGACAAACCCAAACTGTCCTGGGAATGTGCCCAGGAGTGGCTGTCTTTGTCCTATGTGGGGTAAGGCATTCCTCCCAGTGGGATGGGACTCTCCCCCATGGGGCTCAGTAGTAGGACTGCTGCCTGCTTCAGATGGAGCAGACTGACACCCAGCCAAGGTCTCTTCCAATTCCTGGACCAGGAGATCCTGAGCCTCAGTGTGCTCTGATGGATGGGGGCTGAGCTGGCTGCTCTGTCAGAAGCAGATGGAGAAGGAGCAGTGGATGTCATGGCAGATCCTCTGTAAACCAGAGGCCAGCGGGGCAGGGGGTGGGAAGCCAGCTGTGCGTGGCTCTGCAGTGAGTCACGGCCTGGGAGCAGGCTGTGGAGCCAGAAAGCAGGATACACTGTGGCATGTCTTGTTCTTTCCATGGTGTGTGTGGGCTCTCACAGTTGCCCCAGGAGTCTCTGGTGGAAGGCACTTCCATGCCCCATGGGAAGGATCTCTACCTCTTTCAAACTGCCCCTGCAATTATTGTCTCACTTGCTTGGAAATGTGTGGGGCTGCAGGCCTGTCTGTCCTCCCTGGAACCAAACTGAGTTTGGTTTCCCCCTCTGAGCCCAGAGAAACAGGGGGGTAAAAATCCACCACCTTCCTCAGCTGTGGTGCAAGTCGGGAGCTCTGGGTACTGAAGCTGGCCCTACACTGCCCTCTGTGCTGCTCGTGGCCATCAGATCTGAACATCACAGCTGTGCCTGTCCCCAGCTACACCCAGCATGGCTGGTAGATAGAACCCCTCTGGCTGGAGCCCCCCACCATGTCCCTGTGGCAGAGTCCCCATAGCCCTTGGAGTCATCACACCAGGCACCAGCAGACAGGACAGGTCCTCCCTCAGCCCGTTTGAAGCTCCCACGCACAGTCTGGGCACATCCAGCCTGGCTGAGCTTGGTCCCAGTCCAACACCTACAGTATCCAAAGAACCTCATTGCCTGTCCCAAAAGGATTCTCCCTCGCTGCTGGGGGCTGTTCTCTCTCAGTCCTGAACACAGGGATGTTGTGTGCCTGACCCTGCTTTTGCCTGAGAACTTGTGCCAGAGATGTGCCTCTGACTTGCAGAAGGTGCAATAAAACTTCCAAGGGAGAAGCACAGCAAATTCTGTGAACTCCAGGCAGTCCCACCTTGCTCCTGGTGTTTACCTACGATGCACTTTTGAGTCCTCTTGGGCCTGACAGATGCGGTTTGGCAGCTTTTGAAGGATATGAATAAAACTGCTTGAGGAAATAAACAGGAATCCACTTTTGAGCCCCTGGGACTCTCCATGTGGGGAGAGAGAAGCTCCTGGGCTGCAGTGGCAGCTCTTTTTCACAGAGAAACACAGCCTAAAAGGCAGCCTTGATGGGAGAACCCAGGTGAAGCTGTGCCAGCTCCAGAACATCCAAATGCCATCTGGAAGGCAGTGGCAATAACCACA